GCAAAAACTTATTTATTATTATTATTCATCAATTTGACCAGAGAGAGAGAGAGAGAGTGATAAAGTAAGCCACCAGGTGTGGGACTCAAATCTCAGGTGGCCATGTGGGAGTCCAGTGCCATAACCACCACACCATATGCTGCTCCCCATACTTTATTTTTTAATTTGGTAGAAGGTGTGTGCATATGTTAGAGACAGAGAGAGGGACAGTGAGAAAGCACATCCCCACCTCTCAGGGAATGTTCACATCACAATCCCTTTTTTCTTATTTCTCCCTCCATTCAGGATTTGGGGCACACACACACACACACACACACACACCCAATTTTTCAAGCCACTGGGTCTGGGATTTGAACTACAAGGTCAGCCATATAGGATCTAGTCACCTTAACCCCCACACCACTGGCTGGTCTCATAACAGTTTTTATGTGAATGTGGAAACAAAGGCTATTGTGTCCTTAAGTAAGTCCCCTAAATGCTGATCCCCTTCTCCGTTTCTAGCCAAGAAACTAAAACTAAAACTTGTGATAAATAGCCATCTTTAAAAAAATATTTGCTTAATTTTACTTATTTATTCATTTATTTTAATTTGACCAGAGAGAGAAAGATGGAAAGTGAGAGAGCAAGCCACCAAGTCCAGGACTTGAGCCCTGTTGGTTATGTGGGAGTCCAGTGCCTCAACCACCATGCCACCTACTGGAGCCGAGAAACACCTACTTTTAAAAATGTCGATATTTATCGGAGAGGGACTGCGGAAAAAACGTTGAACACAAGAATGCATAAAAACAGGCAAATACTGGGTTGTTGAGGAAGTTATGATGCATTTTTGCATAGAAAAATACATCATGACATTCCCAACAACTTAATAGGTTACGGAATGCTAGACCAAAACAGAACTTTAAAAAGGGCATTGCCAACCATATAGGTACAGCTCAAAAAAAGTACTAGTAGAATGAAAATCACAGGTGTACAGCATAACATAATATTCTTTGTTGAAGATGGTGAGCACAGCAATACAATTTATTTGATCATCACACACTGTATGCATGTGTGTGATGATCATACACACCATATTGTACCCCACAAAGATGTGCAACAAGTGAATTTAAATACGAAACTATAAAACTTAAAAAAGTGGGACCAGCTGGTGGCATGGTGATTGAGGAGGCTGGATCCCACATGATCAACAGATTGCAGTTTGAGTACTGGACCTGGTGGCTTAAAGAACACACCAGGCATTTAGCGACCATAGTAAGCTATATAGCCTCAGCTATGTGCTATTTTATAGTATATTCATTCTACCCACAGAGTTTCATGCCTAAAGTCAACTTTTGTTCACAGATTTGTATATATCAGCTGAACTATTGAAAAGTATTTAGATTAATTAAGATATTTTGTGAATCAATACAATTTGGGAAAGAATAAAGGAATGGAAAGTAACTGCAGATACCAGAGACAGGGTGGGAGGAGGATAGGAAATGGCAGAGAGTGAGAAATGGGGGCTATATATATATATATATATATATATACACACACACACATATATACATATATATATGAAACAAGAAATGGAAATTTATTTGTTGATGATAACATGTATGATTAAGCCACTTCACAGTGTACTCTGGCTGGAAAATCACATTTTCTATGCTGTGATGATGTTCAGTGAAAGTATGTAAAATAAATAAATTAAAATAAAAAATAAATTAATTTAAAAAAAAAAAAGAAAAACACACCAGGCACATATATGTGCATACCCCAAATCCAGAGAGAATGGAGGGGGAGAATGCAATGCGGTCATTCCCCCTTGAGGGTGATTTCTCACTTTCTCTCTGACTCCTGAGAGTGCATGTGCCCTACAGCTACAAAATAATTAAAAAATTAGAAGTTAAAAAAAAAATGGATACTTGGAGCCAGCAGATGGCATAGCAGTTACATCACTGGACTCCCACATGGCCGACTGCAGTTCAAGTGCCGGACCCACTGGCTTGAAATTCCCACTGGGCACGTGTGTGTGCATGCCCAAGATCCTGGGAGAATGGAGGAAAAGGGATTGCAGCATGGCCATTCCCTGGCGGGGGTGGGGGTGTATGTGTGTGTGATTCCTCACTTTCCCTCTCACTGTCTCTGTCTCTCTCTCCAGCGAGCTCATGCACCCTGAAGCAAAAACCCCTTAAAAAAATAAGTAGATACTTAAAATCATCTTAATTAAATCATGCCTAAACTTATCTCAACAACTTACTTATACTGTAAAATAGTGCCCCCAACCATCCCTTCCCCAAAGCAATGACTTTCATTTAACTTCAGTAAAGTATTTTTCATTTATACTGAAGTGATTTGGGATTTAGGACAACTGGTAGAAATTTGTGTACCTTTCTTAATTCTTCCTTCTGTGCACAAATTGATAGCAAAAAGGAATTTTACAGAAAATAAGAGCTGCAAAGCATACATCTCAGATCACATACTACTCTCAAGGTCCTTTAAGCATCTCTAGAATGCTTTATTGTAAAAACAATTGATACCATCATCCTTCAGGAAAAAGTATGCTGGATAAACATTAATATATGAAATGCTACACCTTGAGAATACTAAGATGATGATGTTGTCCATGATCTCAAATTTAGCCAAGAGACATACTATGCATGCATAAACGCTAATTATTTAAATGTGACAGTGGGAGTTTTACTGAAACAGGAAAGGATTCTCAGAGAAGACTGGATTGAGCATTATTTTATGGGACACAGATAAGCTGGCAAAGGAGAGGAAGAAGATTCCAACTGTTCTGTTTCATAAAGCAGATCTCTAAAGCACTACTTGCCAACATTAGTTCAGTATTAACTGCTAAATGTTTTGAGAAAATAAAACAGTCTAAAATTTAATATAGATTGAAATAATCTATGATTCAGTTGTTTCATTAATTCAAACTTTCAACTCAACTGGTCCAAATTCAAGCAGTCTTACTATGTACACAGGGTTTTATTTTTACTCAAAATACAAATTAACATTAAAGAAAACACTTTAATAAATAATCATTCCACATTTCCCTCCACTAACACAATGATATTTTTTACATATTATCTTCCACATGCAAAAAGGTTTTACAAAGTCACAACCGTTGTGTACATACTGTTCTGTATTGTACTTATTTTACTCACCATAGCAAAGACATGTCCATGGTCCTACACAGTCTTTCAAACAATTATTTTACGGGCAGTATAATATTTCACTATTTTTATTAAAACACTTTCTTCTCTGACATGTACATTTTTTCAATATTTTGCCATTGCAAATAATGCAAACAAAACTTCATGCATTTATCTTTTTTGTTTTGTTTTTATATTATTCTTTACAATAAAAATGTAGAAAAGGAATTTCCAGAACAAAGGATATGGTCATTTTAATGGTTCTTGCTATGTGGTACCACACTGCATTCCCAAAGGGTTGTATCTATTTAAAATGCCATCTGATGATATAAGTCCATTAGATAATCTCTTTCTAAAAGTTCTTTAAAAGTCAGAAGTGTTAGGTAGTTTAAAACTAGAGTTTTAAACTATGTAAAGTTAATATTGTCTCTCTAGGAAAAATAAAAAAAGAGGGCGTTCCTAACTAGTGGCTGGGTAGTTAAGGCAGCTGGATCCCATATGGTCAGCTGTGTGGTTTGAGTCCTGGATCTGGCAATTTGAGAAACAAACAAGGTATATGCATCTGCATGCCCAAAATCCTGACAGGAGAATGGATGAGACTGAGGCATGGTCATCCCTGCTGGGGGAAGATCTCTCACTTTCTCCCACCTCACCCTGAGCACATGCACACTGTAACAAATTTTTTAAAAAAAGAAGAGTATAGAACAGATGGTCTCACAGATTTAAAAAAGTTTAGGTGAGTTAACTTAAAGCAATGCTTCTCAACTTTGTTCAAGTTATGGCACATGCAGAAAGTGATACCATAGTCACACTGGGGAAAAAAGAGACCAAGGTGTTTCTGACCCAGAAGTTCCAGTCACCCAAGCCACCTGTCTTCAAGTGCTAAGGGAATCTGTATCTAGACACGTCTGTGACCCGCAGTGCCAGTGTGTCCAGGTCAGGACACTCTAATCATGGAGGAGTCAGTGATTCAAGTCATAAAATGTAGTTAGTGGCCAAGCTGGAAAATTAATGCAAACGTCTTCTTGTCAATGGTTTTTCTACTATATCACAACTGTTATACATGCTTACTGGCTCAAAATTCACTTTTATATGCAGACAAATACCTATACTTAAGAATAAAGAGGATTTTCTAACATGCTTAAAGATACCCAAACTAGCAATTTACATCAAAGTTGAAAATTAACAGTAGGCCTTAGCAGGGCCAGCAGATGGCATAGCAGTTACATTGCTGGGCTCCCACATGGCCGACCATGGTTTGAGTCCCAGACCTGGTGGCTTGAAAATCATGCTGGACACATGTGCATGTGTGCCCAAGATCCCAGGAGGAGAATGGAGGAGAAGGGATTGCAGCGTGGCCCTCCCTGCCAGGGGATGATTTCTCACTTTCCCTGTCTCTGTATCTCTCTCTGGCAAGCACACACACAGTCCTAAGGCAAAAACCTCTTTAAAAAAAAAAAAAATAGGCCTTAGCATCAGCAAACATTTGATTTGCAATTTTTTAGACTTGCCATTCTTTTCAATTTAATTTTTAATCTCTGAACAGTAACAGTCTTCTGTTTGACACTTTGCACATCTCTGATAGTAAATAAAGATTAACAGCAATAAATTATAGACACTATCATGGGCAAAACTATATCTAGGGGCCAGTAGATGGGCATAGTGGTGAAGGTGTTGGACTTCCACATGGCCAACAATGGTTCAAGTCCCAGACCCGGCGGCTTGAATCTCATGCCAGGTATGTATGAGCGTGCGTTCAAAGTCCTGAGAAAAGAACGGAGGAGAAGGATACAGTCTGCCCATCCTTGGGGGTGATTTCTCACTTCACTTTCTTTCTCTCTGTCTCTCTCTGGTGGATGCATGTACCCTGTATCAAAAAAAAAAAAAAATAAAAAATAAAACACTCTCTTAAAAAACAACAATACTATATCCAAGGTAAGTTCTAAGTAATTCTAAAGATAAAAAAGATTTTTAAGTGTTGACTTTGTAGAGGTAGAAAAGATTCCCTCTTTAAATTTCAAATTCCTGCTAGCTAAGTGGAACCTTAATATCTGTTACATTACAGCCTCTTAAGAAATATTTCATTCCACAGAATGATTTTGATCTATACCCAGTGTTGATGCTACCAGGAGGAAAAAATTCACCTTTTACAAGTGTCAAATATTTCACATTACCTTAGAAAAGCAGAGTTGATAGAGCTTCACACATTCAACTGCACATATACAGGTTTTTTCTAGACCATTAACTATTGGGTTTGGGAGTAAAACTGACTCTCTATTATATACGACCACAATAACAAGTAAGAGACTCCAAAGCCTGCATTCTTATTTTACCACATCTAAAACAGAGATTACGTGGTCATTTCTGTGGATTCAGTCATACATTATACACACAAACACATCCATGAGACCTCATGGCACTTGGAAGATTACCCACTATCTCCCATTTGTTAAGATCTGGATCATATTTCTCAATGCTCTGAAGATATGTTCCCTTTGAGTAGGAGTATCCTCCGGTGACATAAATACATCCGTTCATGATGACGGCGCCGCACTCCATCCTCCTTTCCATCATGGGAGCAATCTCTCTCCATTCATTTTGTTCAGGGTCATAGCACTCTGTGATTGTCGTCTGTCCACCAACTAGATAGAGTTTATTCTCAAAGGGAACTGAACACAGTCCATATTCTTTTAAAAGGAAAACAAGAAAAAAAATCATATTAGGATAACAAAGACAGTTACTATCGTGTGGAGGTGTACTAATCCTTCATAACGTAGCACACAAAAACAGAGTAGTAGTGACATCTTGATTCTGGCACACATGACTTCAACACTAAGGCTGAAAATCCATTCCCGATCTCCTGGTTCAGATGACCTGCTCCTGCACACAGCCGTCACCCGTCCTCAGGTCTTCCTTAAGCTGGCTCTGCAGAATGCCAGGGAAGACCTCATCCTTGGCCACTATACTTCTGGGAATTTCCTGCCACAGATCCCTTTTATTTTACACCTCTCTGGAAGACATATCGGGTAAGCGGTATAGATCCCTTCAGGTCGTGGCCGCTCTCGCTGTCACCAGTGGCTGGCAATCTGCAGCGACTGCCGCCACAGGTGCCACACAGGTGCCCTGCTTGTTTCTCTCACATTGCTGGTCCAGGCAGGGATGCAAAAAGGTAGAGAAACACACACCCAGGATAAGTGGGCTGCTACAGTCTCTCACCCTCAGGGTCTGGAAAGGTGCCCCAGACTGTGATGTGCGCTCTGGGCCCTGGAGCTGGAAGTCTGCCTCTAGGGGACTGCATCCCTAGGCTGTTTTTATGGTTCCCCTTTTATGTATCTCTTCCTCACCCAAACCTGCTGGCTCTTCAAGGAACCAGAATAGGGGCCAGTAGGTGGCATAGTGGTTAAGGTGCTGGACTCCCACATGGCCAACTGTGGTTTGAGTCCTAAACCTGGCAGCTTGAAACTCACACTGGGCACATGTGTGTGCGCGTGCATGCCCAAAATCCTGAAAGGAGAATGGAGGGGAAGGGTCTATGGCGTGGCCATTCGCCTGGAGGGTGATTTACTGCTTTCTGTCTTTCTGTCTCTCCAGTGAGTGCATGGACCCTATAGCAAAAATATCTCAAAATAAAACAAAACAAAACCCTGAATTTCACAACCCCACTTCCTCTCTCTCCTTTCTTCCCAAGGCCATGATGAGGGTGAGGCTAGTGAGGAGCCTAGGTCACAAACTAGAGACACATAATGCTCTGAGCCACTCTCTGAGTGACTTCCTAAATGTGGTGTCCCTAGAATCTCATTTGCCTCATCCTAATTCCAGCCCTGCTTCTTCCATGCTCCAATTTTTATTTTTTGAGAGATTTTTGCTATAGAATGTGCACACTTGCAAGAGAGAGAAAGTGAGAAATCACCCCGGGAAGGATCGTCATGCCACGATCCCTTCTCCTCCATTCCCCTCACAGGATTTTGGGCACACATGTACAGGCACTTGGTATAAATTTCAAGTCGCTGGGTCCAGGACTCAAACAGTCGACCATGTGGGAGTTCAGCACCTTAACCACTACACCAACTCCCCATGCTCCAAATTTTAATACCACTCCTATTTTGTTAGTTCCTTCTCTGGGAATATTAGCCATAACATTACATTTAAACACTTTTAGCTGAAGCCTGAAGGAGAAGGGTTTGTCAGTGGCACTTACAGCAAATAAACAGATTCAGTGAGCCACTGCTGACTGTTCTTTCTGCCTGCAAGTCTCTTCTTTTCCTCAGGCCTTTGCAAGGTACCTCCTTCTTGTCATTCAGGTTGTATATATTTTTTTAATTTATTTTTTTTAATTTGTCAGGGGCACATGCACTCACCAGGGAGAGACACAAAGAGTAAAAGCAAAAAAGCATTCCCCACCATGGGGATTGGTCATGCTACAATCCCTTCTCCTCCATCTCTCTTTCCTTTCGGGATTTTGGGCATACTCGTATATGCACTCAGCATGTTTTTCAAGCCACTGGCTCTGGGATTCAGACCTTATGGTTGGCCATGTGGCTTCCAGCTGTCTCAACCACCAGGCCACAGGCTGGCCCCACACAGATCTTATTTTACTGTCACGTACTCAGAGGGCCTTCCCTGACCATCTAACCTGAAGTGGCCTAAAGACGGACAAATTGGCTAGCCAGGCATCTCTACCCCATCAATCTGTTTCACTGTCTTCCACAGCACTACTCAGTATATGGTATGTTTCCTGTTTATGGTCTTTCTCCCCCTGCCAACAGTGCAAGAACTGTGTCCTGCCCACTACCCCACTGACAAGTGGAGAAACACAAGTGTCTGGCACCTTGGTTAAGGACTCAATAAATGTTCCTTGGATCGATGAATGAACTGTACGTTGTACCCACACGTCTCAATGTGTGCCTACATAATCGTGTGGACAACAGCTTACAAGCAAACATTTCTTCCAAAAGAATGTATAATCAAAAATACGATTTCCTCCTTAAGAATAGAAAATAGGCTGGTAGACGGCGTGGCGGTTAAGGGTGCTGGACTCCCACATGGTCGACCGCGGTTCAAGTCCCAGAGCTGGTGGCTTATTTTCTCACCCCCTCCCCCCCGCCCCAGCCCTCTCTGGTCAAATTAAAGTAAATAAATAAATAAAGTTAAATAAAATAATTTTAAAAAATAGAAAACAAATTATCATTAAGATTTTTGCTACCTAGGTTTTGAAAGCTAGAGAGTCTCAAAAAATGGCATTTTTGCTTTGATCCCACATATTGTTCTCAAGTTCCTGACATTTAAGGAAATATAAACTATTAAAAACTCATCCGTTAGTTTCCAGTTACGTGTGTAGAATTTTAATAGGATTTAGTTGTTCTGAGTACCTGTGAAACATGAGTTTATATAAATTATATGTATCATTTCATCAATGGTTATTGTGAAAATAAACAATGCTTCAAAAATCTTATCAATTGGTGTCAGTGATTCAACAATGAGATTACAAGACTTTTCTTAGGTTTATAAAAAAATCTTTGATTTGTGATTCTTACAATAAGAGAGGTATCTCAAGGGACCAGCAGTTAGCGTAATGGCTATGTCGCTGAACTCCTATATAATCGACCGCAGTTTGAGTCCCGGACCCGGTGGCTTAAACTCACGCCGGGCGCGTGTGCGTGCGTGCCCAAGATCCCGAGAGGAAAAAGGAGGAGAAAGGATTGTGGAGTGGCCATCCCTCCTGGGGCGGGGGGTGATTTCTCCCTTTCTATCTCTCTCTGTCTTTCTGGAGAGCACACGCACCCTATAGCAGAAAAAAGAAGAGGTATCTCAAATCTCAATCATGTTTTAAAGTGCTGCTTGATAGTATTTCCTATATTACCCAAATATAACAATGTTGTCATTGTTGGTAGAAACATTTTCTTCCTCGGATTTAACTGCTCTTATTTTTCTACAGGGCAACTCCCAAAGGCAGGGTATGTGTCATTGATTGTGCTCCTAGCAAGGCATAAACAGCATTTGGGAAGCACTCAGAAATACGTTTTTTGATAAATGAATGAACAAATGAACAAACAATTTCAAATCAAGCATGGGAATGACACCATCTGTTGTAAGTCAAGGGGTTTACATACAAATAGGAAATATAAATACATAGTAGTTTGTATTCAGTATTGCATAAATAATATAAACAAAGGGATACGAGGAATTCAGAGACAACCACAATAGCCATTTAAATTGATTTAATTTTTTTGTAAAGGACTTGCACACTTGACATAGTCTAACTTCCTAATTTCCCTGGTAAGTAAAGCCCGAGAGTATAAGCCACTTGCCCAAGGTCAGGCAAGTAAATAAATGGCAGAGCCAACAGAGAACTCTCCTCACTTGACACAGCCTTGTGCTGGTCCTTCTCTTTTCTTCAGCCCATCCCTCACTCAGGCCGCTTCCCAAGATTCTGCCCAAAACTGTTTTGCTGGCCCCACCCTCCAATATATCTCCTTCATCTCCATTATCCAAGTGAACAATTTCCAGATCTACAAAGATGCATTTAGCTACATCTTTCCCCCTGAGCTGCAGACCCCAATTTCTCACTGCTTGCTAGATGGCTCTTCTGAATTATCCAACCAGTCCTTCACCCTAAACTACAACACTGAACTCATCATTTTCCCTTTCTTCCTTCCTATTGATTTTTCTTTCACTATCCTCCATCCTCCCATGTAACTAGCCGGAAATGCTGTTAACTCCTTTCTCTTTCCCATCTCCTCAATCCAACAGGTCAAGAAAGCAACCAGCTGTTGAATTGATAACATTCTTCACATCTACTCCTCTTTTCTACTCCTACCACTTCTTCAGGCTTTCAGCATTTCTCACCTGGCTTATTACAACAGCCCTAGCAGATCTACCCGCCTTTTTCATTCTCCCAAGCTATTCTAAAAGATGTCTTCTTAGAACTAGAGCTTATCACACATCATTCTCCTGCTCTGAAGCCTTTAATGGTTCTCCATTTTTCTTTTTTGGAGAGGTTTTTGCTCTAGGGCATGTGCTCGCCAGGAAGACAGAGAGAGAGAGACAGAGAGACAGAAAGTGAGAAATCATCCCCCGGGAAGATAGCCATGCCGCAATCCCTTCTCCTCCATTCTCCTCCCAGAATCTTGGGCATGCATGCACACTCAGTTTCAAGCCATTGGGTCTGGGACTCGAACCGTGGTCAACCATGTGGGAGTCCAGTGGTGTAACTGCTCTGCCATCTGCTGGCCCTGACAGTTCAAAATTATCCTAAGCACCATGAAAGCCAAACAGAATATATCATGCAAAGTGCTAATCTGATATTTGCTTTTGACATTTCATCAGGAAAAAATAAGATGTAAATCAAAACTTTATGAATGGAAATAAATGTTCTAATCAATTTATACTGTAATTTAATATTATTGTGGATTGATTTTCAATTTGCCATGGCTTTTAATACCAAGGCTTGGAACCAGCAGTTAGCGTAAAGACTATGTCGCTGGACCCCCATGTAGTCGAACACGGTTTGAGTCCCGGACCCGGTGACTTGATTGGGGCATGGCCATCCCCCCTGGGGGGTGATTTCTCACTTTCTGTCTCTCTGTCTCTCTCTGTCTTTCTGGCGAGTGCACGCACCCTACAGCTAAAAAATAAAAAAAAAATAAAATAAAAAATAAAAAAAAAAAAAAACACTCTCCAAAAATAAAAATTAAAAAAAATACCAAGGCTTAAGTCACACTGCCTTTTAAGTCACACAACTCTTTTGTAAGTACTTAGTAAGCTATATGCAGTTTACATATATTATAGGATACTTATTTTTAAGAGAACTGCCTTATGAAATATATATTAAATTTATCGTGTAAGTAACTGTCCTCTAATTTGTTAATCTAACTTTTCATGCATTGGATTTTCTTTGTAAAGTTGTCAGTCCAAAAAATATGCAGAGTAATATCTAATTCACAAGGTTAACATGAAGTTAGATGAGATCACAGAGAAGTTGTTAACAGCATGGGGTCTAAGCCAGATTGCCTGGGTTTGCACTTGACCTCTAATAAGCACTAACGGGCTGAACTTGGGCAATTAATTTACTCTCTCTCTGCCTCAGTGGCCTATAAAATGACATAAGAACAGTATCAAATTCACAGGATTACTCTGAGGTTTAAATAGATTAATATTCATATAGTTATTGGAACAGTTAGTACCTGGCACGTACTTACTGAATAAATGCGAGTTATTGCTCGATATATAAGCTTATTATTATTACTTCCCATTATAACTTTATTAGTCACAACAAAAAGTGGTGAGGAACGTGGGATGTGACATTTGAGCTACCAGGAGACAGAAATCAACCCGTTCCACGGTATCTCAAGCCAGGGCAGCTTTCAGCTAATGTTTCTTTTTATGCAAAGCCTGTGGCATATGGACACGCAGCATAAGATTTTGGTGTACCCCACCTGAGCCATGAGATAAGACAGATGATATGGGTGGGAAACGCTGCACTGGTGGAAAGCAGGACAGTCTGGGGTTTTTAGGAGAGGCAGACTGCTTAGTGGTTGTGGCACATGCTATAGAATCAGACCGCCAGAATTTAATTCCAGGTCCACCACTTTCAAACTCCGAGTACAGGAACGTTACTTATCCTTTCTAAGCCTCCATTTCCAAATGTGTAAACTACGATAAACAACACGTACTCACAAGCTGTAGCAAGAATTCAAGGTAATATTACATGCCAAGTGCTTAGCTAGGGCCAGCAGGTGGTGTAGTGGTTAAAGCGCCAGATCTCCACATGGCCAACTGTGGTTTATGTCCCAGGCCTGGCGACTTGCTTCCTCACTTTCTCTCTCTGTCTCTCTCTGGTCAAACTTTAAGAAAATAATAATAAAGATGAGGAATAAAATTTCAAACAACAGCAACAAAGTGCTTATCCAGTCCCTGAAGTCTTAAAGAAGGAAAGCTACTTAGTCTCAGATGGGTTCACGTTTGTGAATTACCTCTCTGATGACCCACATGGAGGCCTGATGCTTGTGGAAAATGAATCGAAGTAATATGGTGATATAATGACATGAATCTTTCCTAATGAAAAAAATCTTACACAAAAGCCTAACTATAACAGGTTAAAACGTATGCTTTCCCCCAAGCCCTCCACAAAGAGGCAACAAAAGACATCATAGAAGGCAGGCCATTCCTTAGGTGTAGATGACATGTCCCCTTTGTGACTATTAAAGTAAGGCCAGCGTAGGGCTTGGAAAATTGTAGGAGTGAGTGCTTAACAGTAATTAAACTTCTGAAAGAATATACTAAGAAATAGCAATCTCTTGCTAAATTTCAACCAACAGGTACCCTTCCTGACTATTTGGCAGACAGAACAGGGCTTTTTAAACTGTCTATAAAAACTGTGTTCTAGGGACCAGCAGTTAGCTTAATGGCTATGTCGCTGGACTGCCACATAATCGACCGCAGTTCGAGTCCTAGACCTGGTGGCTTAAACTCACGCCAGGCGTGTATACACGTGTGCCCAAGATCCCGAGAGGAGAATGGGGAGAAGGGATTGCAGTGTGGCCACCCCCCTGGAGGGTGATTTCTCAATTTCTGTCTCTCTTTCTGGCTAGCACATACACCCTATACCAAAAACCTCTAAAAAAAACCCAAAAAACCAAAAAAAAACTGTGTTCTATATAATGCATGTTCTTTATAAATGAAAGAAAGCACATAACAAAGGAAAAAGAAACAGAAAAAAAAACCTAAGTGAAAAAAATGTTAAAAGAAACTACCACATCAAGTATGTTGCATAAAGATAACAGAGAAAATATTTGCAGTCATGATCTATTCAGAACCTAAACATGATAATTATTTGAATTATTATATGAATATTTCATACCTTTTAATTACAGTCAAGTATATTCTCTTATAAAGCTGGCATTTTTACTTCCAGTCTATGATAAACTCCATTACGATATGTTCTGTTTGCCACAGTATTTTGTTACCTGGATGTGGACTAGAGGTGATGAGGCTCCATTCGTTGATATCGGAATTATAACTCTGGACTTTGTCGTAAGTGCAACTTCCTCTGTAGCCACAGTGGCCGCCAATAACATAGATAACTTCATGTAAGACGCAGGCAGTAGCATTTCCCACTCCTGTGTGTTAATTAAAATCACATGTTTAGATTAAGCGTTCATTCCACTTTGTAATGAATGGTGAACTAAGTTTATTATTGTGTTTGTTATTACCTATAATAGACACAAGACATTGTATGCCAGGTGCTACAAGGGGGGCTCCATGTACTCTTTCATGAAAGGGTGAGACAGGTGCACAAATAATTAGAACGCAAACAATAGAACTGAAGACGCACCATAACAAAGGAACAAATGAACTACTGCAAAGGGTAGAAATCACACTAGGAGGTGGCATAATTTGACTTGGACCTTCATAGGTAGGACTTCGATAGGTAGAGGAAAGAGGAAGCCCTTCCCCTCCCCAAGAGGGCACATGTGCCAGCCACAGACAGAGAGGAAAAGGAGAAAGCACCAATGGTCACATTGCAATCTCTCTTCTCCCATCTCTCCATCCTGTCAGAATTTTGGGCATGCACGCACATGCACCCTCTGTGTTTTTCAAGTTACTGGGTCAAGGAACCAAACCATGTAGTCAGTCATGCGGGATCCAGCTGTTCCAACCACTAGGTCACACAACCAGCTCCAAAGGAAGTCATTTTGAGCAGAGGGAAGAGCCAGTGCAAAGCCTCACATGGTAATTGAAGTCACATGGCAAAGGATACCAATGCCAAACCAAGAATCTGTACTTAATTCAGCAGGGCTTTTTAAGGTTTTTAAACACAGGAAGGGAAGCATTGAAAAGGAACTTGGACAGATCTCAGAAAGATCTAGGTATTGGCCCAAGTCAGAGGTATGGAGGGCCTAATTTAGAGGAGACCTTGCAGGCCAGCCAGGTGGCATGGAGGTTAAGGTGGCTGGATCCCACATGGCCAACTCTGTGGTTCAAGTTCCAGACCTGGCAGCTTGAAAATCGGTCTAGGTGTACTCATGTGAGTGTGTGCTCAAAATCCTGAGAGGAGCGTGGAGGAGAAGGGATTGCAGCGTGGCCACCCTCACCACCACCCACACACACATCTCTCTAGCAAGTGCACATAGCAAAAACCAAGTGGGAAAAAAGAGACCTCGTATATGGAGAGAAGGGAACTGAGGCAAGAGACTCAGGTAAGGCAGGTTTTGATAACTGAGTCAGAAACTAACCAGGCTGATTCTGGCCCTGAGCTGGGAAAACTGGAAACAGCAATTTCATAAAAAAGTAATGAGGGAGGAAATGGGTACACTAAAGGAAGAGAGGAAGAAAGATAATGAGACTTATTTTAGTTGAAGATGTTGGCTTAGTCTTTCTTTTTAAAAGAATTATTTCTTTAATTCCATTTACTATTATTATTATTATTATTATTATTTTAATTTGACCAGACAGAGACAGAGAGAAAGGAAAGCGAGAAAGCAAGCCACCAGGTCCAGGACTCAAACCACAGTCAGCCATGTGAGAATCCAGTGCCTTTAACCACCACACCACCTGCCGGCCTCACAGTCTTTCAACCAACTTTCATTTAGCACTGTTATGTGCTAGGTACAGATCAATCTCCTTGTTTATTTTTTTATTTATTACCACCACACCACCTGCCGGCCTCACAGTCTTTCAACCAACTTTCATTTAGCACTGTTATGTGCTAGGTACAGATCAATCTCCTTGTTTATTTTTTTATTTATTATTTTTTAATAATTATTTAATTTAACTTTATTTATTTTTATTCATTAATTTTAATTTGACCAGAGAGGGACAGAGTGAGAGACAGAAAGAGAAAGAAAGTGAGAAACAAGCTGCCAGGTCTGGGACTCAAATCGTTGTCAGTCATGTGGAAGTCCAGCGCCCTTAACCACCACACCACCGGCTGGCCCCCATCTCCTTGTTTATTTACACTCCAAAATAAAAGTGGGCTTGGAGCCAGCAGGTGGTATAATGGTTAAGGCGCTAGACTTCCATATGGCCAACTGCAATTTGAGTCTCAGACCCAGTGGCTTGAAACTTCCCACATGCATGTGTGTGCATGCCCAAAATCCTGAGAGAAGAATGGAGGAGAAGGGATTGTGGTGTGGCCATCTCCCACATCCCAGGGGGTGATTCTTGCTTTCTGTCTCTGCCCCTTTCTGACTCTCCAGTGAGTATACAGGCCCTATAGCAAAATATCTCTCTAGCAAAACCAAAATTAAAAATGGGCTTATAAGTAAGGCAGTTAGGATTTAAAAAAAATAAATAAATACAGTCTCTAAATGTCTAAGTATTTATTTCTTTTCTGTACACTAAGTCCCCGAACCAAAAAAGGAAATGAATTTGAAATTTGACTCTATCCATATTAAGCTTTCATTACCAGGGAAAGCTGGTAGTTCACTTTAGTTCACTACAGAATAAAACAAACTGAGAAAAACAATATTCTTTCAACATAAAAATGGGAACCTAAAAGTTCAGAGTCCCCCCATCAAAACCAGCACTAGTCAATCTGCACATACTGGAGAAGTGTTACCGTTTCCTGAGATGACTAGTTATAGAGGAGAACTGAAGTGTCAAGCTGAAAGTATGAAACTGGAATTTCAGAACCAGCTGGTAGGTAGGAGAAATCTTTGGAGTGTGAGGGTCTCCCTTTCCATTCAAGGTTAAGACAAAATACACATGGCTTTCTTTCAAAGTAGATACACCACTAAAGCATTTTCTTTCCAGAAAGAACTGTTTCTTTTTTTTTTGGGGGGGGAGGTTTTTTTTTTTTTTGCTATAGGGTGTGTGCACTCGCCAGAAAGAGAGACAGAGAGACAGAAAGCGAGAAATCACAGCCCGGGGGGTGGCCGTGCTGCAATCCCTTCTCCATTCTCCTCTCGGGATCTTGGCACGCATGCACACGCACCCAGCATGAGTTTAAGTCACCAGGTCCAGGACTCCAACTGTGGTCGACTACATGGGAGTCCAGCAACATAGCCATTACGCCAACTGCTGGTCCCAAGAATTGTTTCAAATAAGATTTTTAAAAATTTCAGTAAAGAATACACTTTTGGGGCCAGCAGGTTGTGTGATGGTTAAGGGCTCTGGACTCCCACATGACTGACTGCGGTTTAATTCCTAGACCCGGTGGTTTGTTTTCTCACTTTCTCTCTCTCTGTCTGTCCCACTCTGGTCTAATTTAAATAAATAAATAAATAATTAAATAAACAAATAATTCACGCCGGGTGCGTGTGCGTGCGTGCCCAAGATCCCGAGAGGAGAATGGAGGAGAAGGGATTGCGGCATGACCATCCCCCCTGGGGGGTGATTTCTCGCTTTCTGTCTCTAATGTCTCTGTCTGTCTGGCGAGCGCACACGCCCTACAGCGAAAAATCTCTCAAAAAGAAAAAAAAAATACCCTTTCACCTGCAAATACATTCTGGGGGCCGGCAGGTGGCGTGGTGGTTAAGATGCTGGACTCCCACACGGTCAACCACAGTTTGAGTCCCAGACCTGGCGGCTTGCTTTCTCATTTTCCTTTTCTCTCTCCTAGTCAAATTAAGAATAATAATAATGATGAATAAAATAAAGTAATTCTTACAGTTTTTTTTTTTTCAAAAAGAAATATATTCTGAACTACAAAAATATTGGAACTGTTATCATTAAGAAACAGAAGCAGAAATGTAACCAGCTTTGAATAGCTGTTAACAAATGAGAATTTTCCTTGTTTCTTTTGTAGGAGAGGAGTCAGAACGTTCTGAAATCAGTAAGTGGCGGGGAGGGAAGCTTAGATAAAATTTTAAAAACCAGAGCAGCCATACCAACCAGATTTAAGCTAATTTCTCCCCCTTTACCAATTACTGCTGAACCTTTGGGCATGCCTGAGAGTCATCACGATTTAGTAAGAGAGACTGTCCTGCCCTATCAAAGGTGACATGTTCCTGTACAATGACATTCATGACAATCACGCTTAATGTTTACTGAGTGCTTATTGTACATCAAACACTGTTCTAACTACATAAACATCAACTCATGTTAATCTTCATGCAATGACCCTAAGCCAGGTAATGTCATCCCTAACGTATAGATGGCAAAACTGGGGCAAGGGAAGACTGAACGATTTGTCCAAGCTCATCACCACGAAGTCGAGAATTAGACCCAGGCAGTTTAGTTTCAGAAGTAGAGTGCCAGATCACAAGACCATTCTGCCTCTCCAGCTTCCTGCTTGTCATCTAAGGATCACAGCAGGTCAGATTTCCAGACCAGGTCAAATTCCCACACCCTTGCTAGCATTAAAAAGAAAAAAAAGAAAGGCCTGGGAAAAAAACACTGGGACAAAAAGACACAAATTTGGTAACAGCCTACCAGTTGTTTTCTACCAGTGTTCCCCAGCACCAAGGAACAAATGTAATGAAACAAGATTTCATTTTAGCTTTTTATTCAGTAGGAGGGAGGGAGAGGTTGGCTATTATTACCACAGCAGAAAATACAGTGTTTACCAGATAGATATTGAGACCCAGTAGTGTGGGAGACTCTGTGAGCAGATGGGAGAGGGGCCAACGGACCCCTTTCCTTTATTCTGTAAGGCAACATTGAAAAAAAACACAAAAAAACAGAGGTTATTCTCCAGGTCTTGGGAGCCTTTATTCTGTAAGGCAACACTGAAAAAAAAAAACACAAAAAAACAGAGGTTATTCTCCGGCTCTTGGGCGCTTTTTTTCGGTAAGGCAACACTGAAAAAAAAAAACACAAAAAAACAGAGGTTATTCTCCAGGTCTTGGGAGCCTTTATTCGGTAAGGCAACACTGAAAAAAAAAAACACAAAAAAACAGAGGTTATTCTCCAGGTCTTGGGAGAATGTACCTTGCGATACCCTACAGGGACCAAACTTTCCAAGGTTTTAATGAATGACCTTGTAAGAGATGATCAACATATTTTGAATGGAAAATAAAGTAGAATATTTAAAAGCAGAACTAAAAAGAGCTTGGCTTCAAAACAAACAAAAAAAAAAAAAAAAAAAAAAAGAAAAAAAAAGGAAAAAGAAAAATCAAAACAAAAATGAACTAATAAAACACCCCTTGTATCTTCATTTAGCCTTTGACTTAAATATAAATTCTTAACACTTGATGAAATATCTAGGAAAAGGATGTAAAGTAGAATGAATACTATTTTCTTATATAAATGGTATTTCTTTTCTAGCTTGAATAGCATACTCTAATTACATTAATCCTCAGACAAGTTGGGACTGTGCTATGCTATGCTTTTACCTAGAATATTCTGTGCTATATTATTTGAATAATCCACTATGGTTCCTAAATAGCTTCCCAAAGTGATGCCTTCTTTTTAAAGTTACTTATAAGAAAAGGGAGACTACTGGCCTACCCCTGGACATTTATTAAATAAATAAATAAATAAATAAATAAATAAATAAAACAGAATAAACAATAACCTGTACTTACCTTTAATCATATTTGCAATAGGAATCCATTTCTCTTTTAATGGATCATAGAACTCAGCCTCTTCCGCTGGAGCCCCTTTCCTGTAACCACCTAAAGCATAGACACAGCCACCCAAGGTGACTGCGCAGTGGTAATACCTGGCATTGAGCATCGGCAAACCTTCGGTCCATTCGTCACTTTCACTGTTATAGATCCACACTGTGTCAAGAGCTTCTATGTTGTCCGTCCTGTAGCCCCCAGTGACATAAATGTTGGGTCCCAAACATGTAACACCATAACTCTCTCTGGTATAATCTGGTATTTCTGCTCCTTGAATCCAAACATTTGTCAAAGGATCCCATATGTGAACCTCTGATAAAGGGTGCCAGTAATAGCCTCCAATGATATACATGGTGGCTGTGGACCTCTGGGAAATCTCTTTATGCATGGGATTCAAGGCATTGTATATTAGGGAGCGGATCTTATTTTCAGTCAGCAGGCAGCTTCTTTGAAGGCCTAATGCTGTTTTTAAATACACTGGATCTATATCTATGTTGACATAGCTCAGCAGATTATATAGGCATTCAATTCGATTTTCTACATCATGGGCAGTCCACTTAATAACTGGCTCTATAATAGCTTCTTCCTTCCAAACACTGAGATTCTTTCTGGACAAGATGAAGAGAAACTTTTCAAGGCTGATTTCCAGAAATTCTTCTTGTTGCCATACTTCCTTAAACCGTGAACAGAGGATTCTTCGAGATTCCTTCTCTAGTTCTGGACACACATGAAATTCTGCAAAGGAGTGCATTCCAATACAATTATCGATATCCAGGTTCCTTACCAAAAACTGCTCACAAGCCTTCTTTACTGAAAGGAACTGTAGCAGATCTGCTGCCTCAAGAAGGCTTTGAACATTTCTTTTCGTTATTTCAATTTGGGAAGTGTACGCATAATTTACAAGGCCTTCAAGAATATCGTGGTGGATGCCAGAGAGTTTAATTTTATTTTTAAATTTTTCTTTCATGTCAGCTGTGAACATTGCCTTAAAATAATTGCTGCAAGCAGCTAAAACAGCTCGGTGACAATGGAAAATTATGCCTGAAGGACACTGAAGGGTAATATCAGTAAATAATCCATCCAAATAAAATGTCCTGAATGCATCCAGAAAATCCACTGGATGTGCTGAATCCTTGAAAAGATAAATATAATCTTCTTGTCCTTTTAGAGCCATGACTGCAATGAATAGAAAATAACAGATGTGTTTTTAATTTTGCAGATTACTTCAAATATCCCGGTCACTGTACTGACTGATTAGCATCAGATATACTCCCAAACCAGACAAAGTTCAACATTCTAAGTAAAACGCAAAATACTGACGGACTGCTTCATCATTTATACCGTGGTCAATTTAAAGTCAGTAGCTCGGAATCTGCAGTGAGGCCCGGGATCTCTGCGCTGTCGTTCTGATAGGAAACACTGGTTTGCTGCCCTGCTCCCTCGGTCTCTGCAACGTGCTCAGGACTGGCAGCCGGAGAGCGATCCCACGCTTGACAAGCCGAGTGGCCGAGGGGCTCACCCCGCTCGAGGCCGCCCTTGGCCGCCACGGCTCGGCACCAATTCAACCTCCCCACCACCCCAGCTCAGTCTCTCGTTCAAATCACACCGAAATGCCAAGAAAAGGACGACCGAAATATCAATGGACAAGAAGCGATCTCGGAAGAAGGAAACCTTGTGCCTTTTCGCTCAAGGAAGAAGAAAGGAAGAGGCCCGGGGAGGAGGAGCCCCGCCCCCCCCCCCCCGCCGCAGGGGCTTCCGCGCGCCCCGCGCTGGGCCCGGGACCCACGTTCGCGCCCCGCGGCCTGGCGTGGGGACCCGACCCCAGGGCGCCGCGTGCCGCCGCAGGCCGGGGGCCTAGTCCCTCCGCCCCGATGTCC